CAAGTCATTAGTGCGAGCACTTCGTCAATGAAGCTCCCCTCCGCCGCCTTTAGGGCGACATGGGGAGCTTCGTTGAAGAAGCGTGAGCTATCCTGCGTCCATATGTAGGAGCTTCCTATTGTAGCTTGCCTCCCTTACTCCACTTAGTTACCTAAGGGCGGGCTTCAAAAATAGAATTTAGTAAATAGGAAAACCACTTTAGACCGGCCTTAGCTCTTGGACTTTGCATTTTGCTTAACAACGACGTTACAAGAAACCCAAATTGCCACGTTGAACAGCCCCTATTCGGCCTCAGTTTTGGCCTTCCACTGCGACGCTACCTGATGCGAATGCGATGCAGCTCCCTTTACAACTTCCATTCCTTGACCTTGGCCCTACTCCTACTCCAAATTCAAAGGCGAAACACTTTACTGCAATTGAGGCAGGTCAACATTCCACTATCTGACCTCTTGTCCAATGCTATGAATCTATGCAGGTTTGGTGCCCATTTGTTTCTGTGTGACTTCTTCACAGTCTGAAAAATTGCATGAAGAAAGCTAGAGGTTTGTAGAATCTTGGGCATGGGAAGCTACGGCATAGGGGAAGTTTGTTCAGGCATCAAAATTACATAATTGTTCTTGGTGAAAAAGTAGTTGTTCGAACCCGAATGTACCGAAACAAAGCCCACACCCCATAGTGGCAAAAGACGATCAACAGCTCTTGTTATGGTTCAGTTCGAGCGGCCCAACAGTCTCAACATGTCTCTCTAGTTAACTTCACTCCGTTTTCCGTTTTAAACGAAAAGGAAAAAGAAAACGCACCGAAGCTAGTTGAACCGGACCGGACTCGGTGTTGTCTTGGCCCCGACTGGAAAAGAACGCCACGTTCTTTGGCGCCTGCAGTCCGTTGGTCACAATGCTGTGCCTGAGAAAAGGACGATGCGCGAAGGTGATGACTCTGCCGCTCTGTACGTGTGTTCCAAAAGCGTTCTGAAGGCAAGCCAAACTGGACCTCTTTTGTGCATTCTTGAAAGACACGTTGACTTAGATGTTGATGTCAAGGTGTTGATCGTTTTGAGATTGCAGACCCCAGCTTCAGCAAAATCTTAGCAACACCTGCAGCAGGTGTGGGTAACGATTTCCTCATGGCTTCTCTCTACCAATAAATGCAGTGGAGGGTTGCACACTGACCCAACCTAACCTAGAGGCTTGGAAGGTTATCCACCTTCAGAGCCATCAAACGGTCCAATGTGACCCACGCATCTGGTGCTCAAACACTAGCAAGAAACAGTCACAGCACAAAACTGGGAAGCCCTGCATCACGCTCTCCAGGCTGCTGGCGGAGTCCACATGCTTCTGCCAGGCCTGGAGTGTCGTAGCGGTGCGTGGCGCGCGGAAGACGAAGTGGCGTCGTGTCGTGACACTTTGCCTCTTCGCTTCCGGTCTATTGCCGGAATGACTAAAAAGCTTCTTGTTTCTAATAGCTTCTTGTTACTACTAGTAAGGCACTTGTTACTAGTAGCGATGCACTTGTTACTACTAGCGATGCACTTTGGTTCCTAGTAACTTAAGATTAGGTGTAACACGTCCTCAACTGCCAAGACTTGACGAGATCGTGTCCTTCTTTTTCTAGAAACAACACTTGTTCCGTTCCTCCTGCCTTCCACACATTGCCATCCTCCTCGGTTCCTCTTCAAGCGCCATCGTAAAACAAACAAAGCAATTGAGAGTGGTCCTGATGCTCGGATCTGTGTGCAACCTCAAAAAGGCTTCGGGACATTCGCAACCGGCTTTGAGAATTGCGCAAACTGGATTTCGTCTCGGTCTGTGTTTTCAGCACCTTTGCGCACATCTTGAACTCCCTTCCCTGTCCTCGGAAGCCCAATGTTCCTGGAGAGTTTCGTGCAAGCAGCACAAGGGATCGTTCAGGAACCGTGAAGCCCGTAGTGATCAAATTACTAATTCGATCTAATTAGGCCAAGGAAACAGCATGTCAACGATCAACCTACTGACTCTGACTTAGTTTGTGTCCGAGCCTCCTATCTTCCTTGCACCAGCCGTGAGCCTCAGTCTGAGGTACATACCGGTGCATGGAAAGCCCAAAGACATCCAAGCTCTGAATTCTTTACTAGTAACAAGAAGCTATTAGGAACAAGTGCATCGCTTCTAGTAACAAGTGCCTTACTAGTAGTAACAAGAAGCTACTAGATGTTTGTTTCATTCACCTTTTCAACGCCTTCCAAATCCGGAGCCGCAGTTGTCGCTACCTGTCTGCGTTCCCGTGCCACACCAGGGACGCGAAGTTGTGCCTCAGAAGTGCCTGCGTAGTTCCGTGGTTCCAAGGGTCTCAACGTGACAAGCTCCCTCAATCAGTCTATTCGAACTGCCAAAAACGACTCACAAGAAAGCTTGAGTGTTAAGCTCAATTGAACCGTGAGTTCCTCATCTGGCACATCACAGCAGGATAATACGAATTTGCGTAAAAAGGTTTTCTGGAAAGCTGCGAGGGAGTTCACCAACATATATATGTTTTATATGATTATAGTTATATATATATATATGGATCCCTTTAACTTGTCTTCGAGACCAAACTGGTGATGGATGATGCCTGAACGCCTTCGTTTTTGAGATGCTGTAGATGCCGTCTAAGCAGAACTTTTGACAGCAGTGCCACCGCAGTGCGCCGGGTCTCCCACAACACGCATGTCTGCTTGCTGGTATACTGGATGCAGCAGCAGCACCTAGGAGACGAGCAGCACCCAAGAGGCACCCGAAGCCACATGTTGTTCTCAAATCGAACGTAGCTGCAAACATCCATTCGAAGCACATCAATGACACCAAACCTTGTGCAACGGGTGCAGGGAACAGTATTGTACCGCACCGAATGAGGCAAGGATTCCAAGTTTGGAACAGGCTGGATTGCGTACAGTTCTTGTCCAAACTTGGCCCTAATTGATTTGCTATGCCTCGAATCAAGCAAATGTGAAGGAGGCTTGTGCTTCTGCACACACGACAAGAGTGTTAGATGAACCAGGATCAAATCTCCAGCCGTTTATCAATATCATAATGTCATCCCTTTAGGCTACAATCTTGTCAGTCAATACACAAGGAAAAAAGATCAAGCACGTGTTAGCCTCTAGATGCATATCTTGGCAAAGGCTCGTCTTGTTCAACCCTCAAACAGCTGTTTGTTTGTTTCTATTCTGTAAGTGTTCCTCAAAACTTGAGGGTTGATTCCTTACGAAACTGATTTACATGACACCAAGATTTTCCACCGGGTGGTCCAGCATAATTCTGCACATCCCAACACCTTTAGGAGGTACACAAATCAAGATCCAAATGTCTGGTTGTGCAAATGTGTAACTCAACAGCAGCGCAGTGCAAAATAAAGCGTTTTCAGTCTGACAAGCCAGCCATGATACCCACAATTCCGTCTTCCCCATGCCAATCAGCATCTGCAAACAAATGCAAACAACGTCCCCCAACACCCAGCAACTTTCTTTTCAAAAATCAGTGTTCCGGGCAACCGTGCTGAGAGTGGGAAGAGACAGGTGCAGAAGGATCTAGGTAGAATCCGAGAACACCTCGAGCTGAATCTTCCGACAAATGCTGTGGAAGAAAAGGAAAAAGACCGTGCGGATCCGTCCTCACTCTAGGTTCTAGGCTCAATAACTGGTGGACAAAACTGGCCGAACCAGAATTAAAGAAAAAGGCATGGCAAACAAGTCCTTTCCATTCAAGAATTTTTAGAAAGGAATGGGTACAATTGCAAGCTGATTGAAGTGGCCATTTGGACCTGGAGAGACCCGAGGTCATAGCCACTCCTGCAAGTACTCAATGGCAGACTTGCCTGCCATCCAACGGAAAGGTGTCTTTTGTCTTTAAGGCATCACGTCAGTAGAACGCAGAAGGTTTACCAAGACTAGAAACATCGCCTCCATTAGCTACCAAATGCTGGTCATACCAAAAAAATACGTAAAACTGCCAGCAACACGCTGCGAGGGCTCCCGACTGAGCATGGAGGAGATCAGTTCCTGTCACGATGCTTCTAGCGGAAAAATCTCTCGGCACCTAGCCTTTCGAGCATACTAATAGCTTCTTGTTACTACTAGTAAGGCACTTGTTCCTAGAAGCGTGGCACTTGTTACTAGTAGCTTCTTGTTACTACTAGGCCGAACCCAAATGGGTCACGAAAAAATGGCCCTCACCCCGCTGCCCTCACCTCCCTTGCCAACAAACGTTCATCCACCTTCAAACACTGTAGTCCTGTCTTGAGCAAGACATAATCACATGTTGCTTGGTGATCCATTGGACTAATCAATAACTGCCGGCTAGGCCTGCATCTCGGAGTTCAGACCGGATAGCTTTTCCTGAGTTCAAGCTTTCTCGGCTTCGTTCCGCTCTACGCTCCGCTCCCGTTCCGCTTGAGGAAGCCTTAGAAAAGCCCTTCCGTCCGTCAGGGCTGTCTTGACCGTTTGACCGGATTTTGGTGAAACCGTGGGACATGCATCGAAGGATCACATGGAATCAAAATGATGCCCACTGCCATATGGATGAATTATCCACCTGTTACCCAATCAGCATTACCTGGAAAGGCCCACGAGCTCTTCAGTGGCCTTTCATGGAAAGACTCAAGATATTTCTCAGGAACCGAGCCAAGCGCCAAGCCCGTCCTTTGCAGTCAGGGTACTCGAATATCTCCTCCCTGACGGTAGGCACGCAGCTGTGGCCTTGACTTAGCGGACTTAGTGGAAATTCACGAGGTGAAACGACCATGATCATGAGAGATCATGTGTGATCAATATGATATCATACGGCTATCCTATGCTATCCTTAGACCCACATTCTGCAGCGCGTGTGAATTCCCAGGGTTGATGTCTCGGTGTCGACACACGAGTCTTCAAGGCACTCCTTTTGTGCGGTGCATCGGAGTTGGGCAGGTCCAATCTCGGACACTTCGAGAACCGGTAGCCTCCAGTCTCCAACTGTGATCTAAATCTAAACAAGGGACAACCACGGAATAGACATCTGCAATCGACAGTTCTCAACTGCTCTCGAGTTCTCAACTTGCTTGACCGGGACTGACACATCTGCACTCGACATGTTCCGACCTCCCCTTTGCACTCTACGTGGGTCTCCGGTCGGTCTCGGGTCAGTGTCAGTTGTACGCGGTGCCCGCCACTCTCCATCACTCAGCTCGATGTTCGCTCAGCGCTCACTCGCTTGACTCGCTCGGCGCATGTAAACATAGGGCAAATAGCCCTCCTGAGCCGACAGCGACAATTACTTTTACTGGTGTCAAGGTTTGTACTTACAGTATTAGCAAGGAGTATTCGGTTGGAGACCATTGCTCTTGCATTTGGGCCATTAGGGCTTTCCAAGTTCGGCAAGCACACCTCACGCCAGTCCATCTCCACTGGCACTTCTCCACGCCTGAAACCGAACCGATAGTGAAAAAATAAAAACGATAGAAAAAATAAATGAATATTCAAATAAAATCAATTTCTTTCATCTTGATTTTCATGACGACTTTGATGTCGCTGTTTTAAGCCAATCAGACTGTGCCATTTGCCAGATCCACCCAATGAAGGTAAGGAGAGGGACAGCTTTCTGCCCATCTTGGAGTCGGTGAACGAAATCTGAAAAAGCACATTGACACATCAAGGAGATCAAATCCTTGCGGTAGCCACCTTGATGAGTTGCATTCAGCAGCAAACCGGCAAACGACAAAAAGAAAAGCTGCTCTTAGTGGTGCAACATCGGTCTCCCAACTCCGCTGAGCGTAGCTGAATCTACCCTATCCAAGGTGAGTGCACCATGGAGGAAAAGCGGCGCCTCATGGTCAGTTTGGAGATGCCACTCGCCTGGAACGGCAAACGCCAAAGACCTTTTTACAACATAGGGCCATAGGGGATGGACACAGAGTCCCAGCGCTGCATCACGATCAGTTTCACAAGACTCGGCAGGTACGGTATGCGAAGGATCAAGCCTCCAGCTCCGCCAATGTCACCATCCGCGCGCCTGCAGACTGGAGGAGATATAAGCAAATGCTTAAAGAAACGATGTGGATTCCTTATTCGCCCACAAGCTACTAGTAACAAGTGCATCGCTACTAGTAACAAGTGCCTTACTAGTAGTAAGAAAAAAGCATTCCTTATTTGCCCACAAGCTACTAGTAACAAGTACATCGCTACTAGTAACAAGTGCCTTACTAGTAGGAACAAAAAAAGCATTTCTTATTTGCCCACAAGCTACTAGTAACAAGTGCATCGCTACTAGTAACAAGTGCCTTACTAGTAGTAAGAAAAAAAGCATTCCTTATTTGCCCACAAGCTACTAGTAACAAGTGCATCGCTACTAGTAACAAGTGCCTTACTAGTAGTAAGAAAAAAAGCGTTCCTTATTGCACATTCCCCACGGTTCCGGAAAAAACGCATCGGAAAATGTGTTCGGCCCTTCAGCCTGGCGCCGCACGCTGAACAAAGGCCTGGCAAGTGATGTTGAAGACGCAAGAAACGTTCTTGTTGGTTTGAAAACGTTTGGGGCGTCCTTTGATCAGGAAACGAAGACTCAAACTCTTTCGACTCCTCTCTGCTCCCTCAAAATGCCCAAGAACTTCACATCCGACCGCTAGTAGATCGCAGGTGAAATGCAATCCCTCGCACCCGCATTTGTTTATGATGCCTCTGTGACCTGCTGTGAGGTCTCGTCTGAGAAGCACAAGTTGTTCCAAAAGACCTCAAACCAGGTCGGACTGAGGGCAGTCGGCATAAAAGAACCACACATCTGAAAAGGGGTGCTGAAGTCAGGTTAGACAAAATCTCAAAAGCGCAATGCAGCACATTGAATTTCTCTGAGAGCCCATGTCTTGTTCTCTGGTTCCTCTGGTGTGTTCTTCAACAAAGTTCCAAACGCACGCGCTTCCAGAGTTTGATTCTTGAGTCCGCCAGCAACCTGCTCATGTTCCAAAGGTGCTTGTTTCGTGTTTGCTTAAGAGGACAATCTTAAGGCAGCTGGGGCATGCATGGCCCAAGTACAATCAGGAGCTGAGCCAAATGTGTTCTCTCTCGTGTCCCTCAACTTGCGGCGGTGAAGGGCATCCTGTAGCTAAGCAGCTAGTCCCTAAATGCTTTGCACCTTGTTCCAAATTTGAATGTGTCACTTGTGTGTCCCTTGTGTGCTCAGCTTTGGGTGGTGACTTGAAATCGGGAGCCCACTGAGTGTCGTGCCAGGTCTGTGTTGTTCAAGAGGTCCAAATGATTCAAAACGTCGCCCAGTCGAAAGGTCTCAGCAAAGCGTCGCCCACTGGATTCCTTGTTTCTAATAGCTTCCTTGTTACTACTAGAGGCACTTGTTACTAGTAGCGATGCACTTGTTACTAGTAGCGATGCCCTTGTTTCTAATGTTCGGAAATGTCTCTAAACATTGATCCATACCAGAACCAGATCAAAAGGGATGCAAAAACCGATCCCAGACAATCGTTGCTCATGTTTTTTTGGCGTACTGTGGAGCTACACGGTGGATGCTTGCTGTCAGTGACAATGGAGTTTGGTGGATTGCACTTTCGAAGCCAGCAAATATGTTTCAGCAAGTGAGTTTCCTGAGAATCAGAACATGTTCATTGATTCATTGAACCCATTGAACATTGAAGCCATTGAACCCAATTAGGACTGGTCAGCTGGGTCCAGTTGAAAGTACTGGTCGAAGGGTGTGTCCCAGTTGCCAAGGGTTTCAATGAACAACCAGAAGGAACGCCATATGGGACCTACCAAAATGAGTTTGGGTTAATTTTGTCCGATTCCAACACCTGACCTGAGGTCCCCACTGTTGCCGTTCCAGCCTAGATAGGAAAGAAAAAGATGTGAAAGAGTCGAAGTCGAAACTCCTCGAAACGGCTCGTGCAACTCGTGCTCGACTTCTGCCTTCGCCGATCTGAGGGCTTTCTCGTGCCGCTCCTGCACCACCTGGACGGCCGTCTTTCGGATCCGATGGTGTCAGGGTTTCTCATTTCGGTTTTACTCTTTCTCCACTTGAAGCGTTTAGTTTCTCAAGTGTTTAGTTACTTTTTGATTCTCACTTTGTTCACCTTCTCGAGCTCACTGGACCCGAATGTCGGAGATATGAAACCACCAAAACCAGATCTCTTTTGTCGTCACAGCATCCCCAGAGTTCAGGAGTCTCACACCAGTTGCGGCTCTGAATGAAGGACGACGTTTTTCTCCGACGGCGTGACGGCAGTTGGCGAGAATGGTGGAGAGAATGTCACATTTCATGCTCTGCCAGCGACCTGCACAATATTCCAAACTGCACAAGTTTCACAAGTTCTTGGCCACAACATATTCCGCAAAACAAGTCGTTGTCAATCCCCGGGACGGTGTGCAAGCCTGTCCGATATCGATTGGCAATCGAGAACTTCATCCCAGCCTCAACTCCTCGGCTCTCATTGAAGCCTTCCTGACGAAATGAGCGACAAGTCAGGAAAACAAGAGCAAGTTCGAAGGAAAACAGTTCATCATGGCGTGAGTCGCGTACCTGACCTTAGTCATTCATTTCGTGTAAGAGACGGAGTCCTTGAACACGGAGCTTCTACTCGCACTTCAAACGTGAAAAAAAAACAAAGCAGCTAGCACTTCCAAATGAAAAACAGCTCCAACTTTTGGCGGCAACAGAAAGCCTAACTTGATCAAGTCTTGATTGGAAGCGTTTCAAACGACCGCTGCGGCTGGCGGCCAAAGAGTGCCGCCAAGGTGTCAAGATGTCAATGTGTCAATGAGATCTCAACTATTGTTCTTCTGCATATTTTTGTGATGTTTGTTGCTTTTAATACATCCTAAGACCTTGACCTGAGGTTAGGTATCCTACGGTCTCCTAGGGAATGGCCTGGGCAGCCCAAAGGACAAAGCTGCCATGGCCTGAGCCTTGGCCGTTCACTTGAAGCTCCAGTCAGTTCGTCAGTTCCAGAAGGCTTGAAAGCACAAGAGTCACAAGAGGGAAGTAGGTCAGCGCGTATCCCACATGCAAGTGCTCTTCACCAATCTGAAGAGTGAATAAGCTGCTTCCACTGCGCCCAGGGAAGCCTCTACTGAAACATGCATAGCTCCTGGACCTCCTTGAGCAGGAAGAAGGAACAAGGACGCTACTAGGAGCAAAGGGCATCGCTACTAGGAGCAAGGACGCTACTAGGGGCTCCTGGCCTTACTACTAGGAGCAAGAAGCTATTAGAAACAAGAATTCTAATTAGAAGCTATTAAAAACACGCATCACAAGGAACATCAACCCTTCTGACTTTCTGGCCAATGTCAAGGAAGACACCACCTGCCGAGACTGACACGACCAAATTGGAGACTCGGAGCTGTTCCGGATCCGTTCCGAGCACGAAACAAACGTTGTATACCTACAATTGCTTCACTTCATACATTTTTTCTGTCCTCATGAGGTGCTAACTAAGACATACCACATACAGAGCAGATTGCATTTCAAAGACCAGCACATACCAAACAAAAAGGTAGCTCCTTTCTTGAAAGCCTTCCTATGTATAGACTCCGTCTTGCGGAAATCATCATCTTTTGAGTTTGGCATTTTGCTGTGTTGGCCATTTCAACTCCCAAGCCGATTTCGCTGGGCCAGTGTTTTGGAGATGTGGCATGTATAGCTTTCTGTACTATCGGGACTTGATACAGGCTCGTTCCGGTGCACAGCATGCTTGGATCCTAGTAGCGATGCCCTTTGTTCCTAGTAGCGTCCTTGCTCCTAGTAGCAAGGCCAGGAGCCCCTAGTAGCGTCCTTGCTCCATTCGGAGCGACGCCCTTTTAGCTGTTTTTGAGGCTTTTAGCGTTCTCAGATTGGTCTTCACACTTTTCTGCCTGCCGTGGCCAGGGTCGGTGGCTTCATTTGGGGCTATAGACTCCGTCTACTTTACTTTCCTGATTCGAAGCCTTATGTTGCACAAATATTTGCTTCGACAAGCTTTCTCTAAGCTTTCAAATTGGTCCAGATCCTAATGACAGAGGTGCAAAATGCAAAAGACCCTTTGACTCTTTGACCCTCCACACCGCGTGTCTTCGTATGCCTTCTTCGGGATTGCGTCTATTGCGAATTCGTGCTTGGTGAATGATTGCAAATATACCAGAGCTCATCGCTGATAAATCCAATATACTCATGGAGGATACCTGAGCGCTCACCTGTTTGTGATTTCACCGCAACGATGTAGCATTCGTGAGGTGTTCGTGCTTGCCTGAAAAGGACCAAGCCAAAACACGGTATTAAACAAAAAGGTCGAAAGGTTTCACAAAAAACAGTTAGAACATTTACTCAAACATGGGCAGATAGCCTTCGTAGAACAATTATTTTGAAAGGCCTTAAGCTTTAAGGAACTTCTGAAGAAATGCAACGCTTTCGTCCCCTGTGCAACTGCAATCCGTACCTCTAGGAGCAATGCGTGAGATGGTGTGCATCCCTCGCCTCGAGCGAAAGTAGGCTAATAGATGCAAATAGCCTTTTGCAGGCTATAGGGCTCGGACAAACCACACGAACTGTGTTGCAAAGAGTACCCGAAAGTGTCGTTAAAAGTTTAGAAAAGTGGCGACAGTGCGAGCAACATACCCATGCGTGTACCTTCCAGGGATATGCTCCAAGAAGGCCCATTCGGCCACTTGGCGCTCAGAGGAAAATCAGCGAAAAAGCTGCAAAAAGATCTAAGGGTCAGAAGAACGGGTGTCGACACCAGAAGCTAGATATAAATGACATAAACATCCCACTCCAAAGATGTCTGAGGGGGGTTGTAAAGACTCAGAAAGTAAAGTTACTTAAACCCGTTTGATCCGTCAACACCCATCCGTCAACACCCTGTTAGATGTCCCTCCCTTTGGATGCTTTGTCGCAACATCAGGAGCAACGGTTAAATCCGGTCGATCACAAAATGGGTTTAGTGTTTAGGGAGTCCAGCGATGATTCACATATATACCTCCAAGGCTAGCAGCCAGGAGGTTTTGTCTCAACAACTTAGATCAAGGTTTGAAGAAAAACTGAAAAGAGAACAAAGAGAAAAGACAAAAAACCTTCCGTTGGATGCCATCGCTCTTAGGTTGGGGGCCATCGCCAGGCACTAGTATTCGGATTCGATTAGAATTTACTTTGCCTCGTTTTACTTCGAAGCCTTCCACTGCTCCAAGCTCTTGGGGCGCCGTGCACTGTTATCTCCCCGTAGGTACGAAGCGGGTCACAATGATCCACACCTCTGTCGTGGACGGATCCAAATCTCTAGGGTCAAAGAGATCCGGGAATTTCAATTCATCTCCACACAAAGTAATAAGAACATGCCACCGGTGTTTGCCAATGTCCTTTCAGTTTGAAAGTTCCCAACAAGAACGGAAGAATTGAACGAATCAAACAATCGTTCTTCTGTCGTTCTTCTGCCGTTCACCTCTGCTAAGATCTAAGATGTGTTTTTTTCGCCGACTTCCAAGTGACTTCCATTCTCGACTCTCAGCGCCGGCAGCTGCCAGTACGTCCAAAGGATGGCCTATCAGCTCAAGCGAAATCAGAAAGACGCATAGAGTCTTAGAGAGTCATAGGGGCTCAGAAAGCCATCTTTGGATTGATACGCGGCAAAAGAAAGCCGCACAAAGACACATAGAAAGTTGACACAAAAGAAAGTGCCATACTTACAGCCTCATGTGACCGATCAAGTGTCACGTGACATCACTTCGACGGACCAGAGAAAGCATCCGAAAGGCCCAACAGCGACGTTGTACAAGTGTGTGGACTCTTGGTGCTGACAGTCTGAGATGCATTTTCTGAAAGGAAGATTACACACCCAAATAGCACGATCCACTAGCCCCATTTCCCTTCGCAGAATCCGAATCCGCACCAGCAGTGGCACGGCCAAGCCGACGTTCCGCAGGGTCAACGGAGGGCCCGGCCACGCCGCATGGAGATCGTCTAGGAAGCTCCTGAGGGCGGCACTGCTCAGGTGTCACAAAAAATGACGGACAACCACAGAATGTTGTGTCGCTCATTTGTTGCTGTCGGTTTTCTTATGACAATTTCAACTGTGGAAAACATCATTGCAGGACTAGCAGACTAGCACTCATTGATCCCTGCCAGCATAAGCGGCACGTGAGCACAAACAGCGATCTACATCGCATTTTCCGACGGCAAACACATTTAGATGGTCTTTGTGGGTTGAGGAGACCATCAACACAAAAAAGAAGAACTGAAATGGTGACACGTGGCATTCTCTGCAACACACTAAACCTTGCACAACCTCATCACAGTTTCAAGTCCACAAAAACCTCAAGCAAGGGACACGTCACTGTGCAAAGACCTGCCACTGTCGCTGAAATTGACCTTTAGGATCAGGGCATTTTGCCCAGAACTAGTGGTCTTTGCCAGTTCTGCAGGGTGTCTGTCAAATTGTCAGTGAGGCTAGGAATCGCATGGCTTCTGGGCAGGATGCGAAGAGCCTCTGGCCTAAACGGCAACAAAAGTAACACGGCCAATAAGGGCCGAAGACACCATGCAGGTGGCAGAAGACACACAGAGGATATCAGGAGATATCAGGTGTTTCCTGTGCACTCTTTACACGCAAGTTGTTCAAAGACTGCTGCAAGAGTGTGGACACATGCCCTTTCACATACTTCACAACCACTCCCACGAGCGATGCCAGGGAAAGCTTCGCAAGTGCATTTTGCACTTTTGAGGGAAGGGCCTTTGGTTGATGGTGAACTGCACGTAGGAGCAATTCGCGCTCAAGCAACTGAATCATGTCCGCAGCTTCAAAAAGCTGGTTCTTCTCAATGCACTGGACATGTGATATGTCCCAAGGAGATCCAGTTGATGCTTCCAAGGCACGACGTGTGTACTTGTCGCAAGAGCTCGGCCGGTTCGAGTGAAATGGCAATAGCCGCAGTCGCCCAAAGTGCATACACAAGCGACACGAATGCATGGACGCCGACAGAAGTGAGGGTGGCCAATGCTGCCTTCGTTTACGAACTTTGGCACAAGAGCCCTTGCTGTCGTTGCCTCCCTCAAGTCACTCATATCTGCATCTTCAAATCGCTGCTTGGCAGCTGCTTCAGCTCTGGCCGATAATCTTGCAACCTCGTCGTGCCCACACGGTCCCTTGGTCTATCAACAACAAGTTACACCATAAAAGTATCTAGAATATGGAAGCAAAAGACAGCAAGCTGCCCCTCCAGATCGTAATCTGCTTCACCCACCATTAACTTTAAGAAAGTCAAGACAACCTCTTTTTTGGTGTCGTTTGACTTGTGCGGACTCTTCCCCACCTGAATTTTCAGTGACACGTCGTCTTGGTGCTCTTCCCCAACGGGCGGGCTGCTTCGAGAGCGTCGCTCTGAAGACTCAAAAGTTCCTAGTAGATTCCTTTGCTAGTAATTAGAATTCCAATTAAATTATTTTTGTTACTACTAGTAAGGCACCTGTTACTACTAGCGTGGCACTTGTTCCTAGTCGCTCTGAAGACTCCACTTTCTCATCGATGAAGGTCAAATGGTAGCGAAAGGCCGGCGCGACGGAAGTTGACCCGTCCGGAGCGGTCAGGGTGGCTAAAGTAAAGCCGAAAAACTCACCACATGCTTTGTATCCAAAAAGACTCCTCACTCAGAACTTTCTGAAAATGCATATATAGGCAGGATTTTAATTATCAAGAGCCACATAACTCAGAACTAAAACAAACAATCCTCCTAAGTTGCTTCCCACATGGACCAAACAGACAACTTGCATGATTTGATCCTCTGGAGACACGAAGTCCCTCCACTTTTAGCAATCAAGTTTTATGGCAAAAGAGAAGAATCAGTCAACCAGCAAGACTCACATCCCGTGCACCTCACGTCGTCTAAGCAGCCATTCGCTTCACCTTATCTGCATGGCGTGCGAGTACTCACTCTGCAAACATACCTGTGTCCCATAGCTCCCCTCTCAAACGACTCAGTTTTGATTCGTACAAACTGTCAAAACATCTTAAGATTCAGTGTGCTTCAAACACTGATCTCAAGAATATCTTTTGGCAAAGTGCCACACAAGCAAGCTTCAAGGGGGCGGAGGGCAGCTGCACAGGGTCATTAGCACTTCAAAAATCCGAATCGGACCTATATAGAGCCTACTGACTCTTGACTCTTAACTAAAACCTGTCTATGTGACCATTGTATGACCAAGAGAAATGTCACTCACCAAATATGTGAGACTCAGAACCTTGACCCGTCATGTATAGCCCCAAAAATCTTCAATACACTGTGTTTGTTTCGATCTTTTGAATGCTTAAAATCTTAGGACTGCTTCTTCATGTCATTGAGAACATCATTTCCCAAATGTCCATGCTCTTAGAGCTCTGGGAGTCTCTGAGAGCAGAGCGCGTCACCGTCTTTGTCATGGTTCACATCGCGGAGAACGTTTCTCTTCGGTTTGTTACTCAAAGGTTCTAGCGACGTAGCGAGAAGAATATGTCCTAAGAAACAAGCAGAAGTCACACAGGTTTGGGCAAAACACGCATGTGCATCCATTCATCAATTTGTGAAGGTACTTGGTGAAAGCTCACTGTACGCACTGGCAAACAATTGCAAACAGCAACATCGGTTTTAACATGAGTTGTTCTGAGTTTCTGAGTTCAAAAAGGCTGCGTAATGGGGCCAGGCAATCACGGCGCCGACGAACATGAACGTTGCCTGTGCCAACTGCTCACCTTCAAGACCACATGCAAATGTCGGCTGGCGACCGAACATACTTCATCTAGACCTCTAATGGGTCTTAATGTTAGTCCTGGATTTGGGTTACGACAGTTACGACAGGACTTGGAACCAATGAGATCATCCTGGTTACTGTTGTCAAGATTTGTCAAGTGGTTCTCCAGTGTCTGCACTGCATGGTTGTTTCATGAAAGCCCATCACTGGATATGTTTCATGAAAGTGTTCATGTTTCCATGTTTCTCTGCTTCTGCAGAGTCTGCGCCTCCCGAGCCCCCGAGCCCTGAAGGCGGCTGAGGGTGTGGCAAATCCAGCAACGTTTGTCCATCCTGAAAAAGCTCAGATAGAACCTCAGTGCTTGTTACTTAATTCGACGAAGAGACAAGCGGAGCTTGAGAAGAAGTGCGAATTGATATACATTACACACGTGGGAGATTCAAGATCTATAGTCCAACAGACAGAGGTAATGTGAAATCTGAAAGTCGCAAACCGGCGAAATAGTGGTTGTGTCGGCAAGAACCGTTTGGAAGGTGCACCACATCATCACTCCTTTGCGGTGTTCACTTTCTGTTCAAACCTCTCGGGTACTTATTCTTCTCCAATCAGCAAGCTCTCGAAATGACCCAATTGAGCTCTTGATGTTCACAGAGTGTTTGCAGAAACCTTCGCAACAAAAAACCTGGAAACGCAGAATGCACAATACAGATTGCGGGTATGTTGGTCTGAGATTTCTTGGCGGCGGCGCTGCTCTCCCTGCACGGCTTTTTTCAGCTTGCCAGTTTCACTCTACATCGGCACTAACTGTCACTAACCAATTTACCAATGCAAGGCCACAGGATTTTTCATTCTTCGACCTAAATTGATGCGATGAGTTTTCTCTGCCAGGGTCCCTCCGCCCACACCCAGCCCTCGCAAATCCATCACAGCCATCGCAGCCCCACCGGTCCAGCATCAAGCCCACACCAGCTCAAAGGTTCATAGCACAGAGCGAGCCATGAGTTTGTGCCGTGACATTGTCATCCCCCAGCACAGGTATGACCAGCTCTGCATGGGAAGTCGCACCAGCCACGATTGCTCCATGCTGCCTGCTACACACCCCGGTTTTGGACACCACGGGGCAAGAAGTCTGACGTCGCTCGAGCTCACGCCCTCGAGGTCTGGCATCAAGGGGATTACCCCAAGAGCTCATTACCGCGATGGAGGCCAATTTCTAATGGGTTGGAGGCCATCGCTACTAGGGTGGAGGTCTGCTTTTGCATTTGGGGCTCAGCTCGCGACCCCCTTTGCCAGTGGAGGTGGACGGCAGACGGTCGAGCGATGGCTTCGTGCAAAGCTGGACAAACTTCAAACCTCCGATCGGAGCGGAGGGACGGTGGCATGGGCACTTAGCCCAGAACATGAAACGGTTCATTCGGTTGAGGGTGGAGGTTTGGGGGGGAAAGGCGGTCAAGAAAGCCTGGCGGCACCAACACCGCATGAGATGACCAAGCCGTCAGGAGCAATTCAAGACGATGGTGCCTGGTGGTGCTGATGCATGGAAACCACCAAGGCCTTGCATCGCTCCTGGAGGGCCCGCGACCGTGCTTTCGCAGCGCGCGTCCGCTAGCTGAACCGAGCCAAGCTCTGCGCCACCACCCCTACGTGCACAGAGCATGTGCTGGGCATGTGAGTTTAGGGCAAAGCTTGGAACGGATCAGCGTAGCGAAGCAGAGCCCAAGCACGGCCGCGGCACCCCAAGGTGCGGAGTAAGTGCCAAGCAAGTCTGACCGTCCCAGAGCCACGCAAGTGCTGAAGATCTGTTTATAGAAATCTCATGGCCGTGCAAACACTTTTCATTCTATGTACACTGTTGTGCAAATTCAACTAAACCTGGAGATGGATGACTGTAGCTATTCATATGTGGAACCCCAAAAGATCAAACCATAACGACCTAGGGTAAACAATAAAGGATGTGAGCTGCGCATTGGATTTGAGGTTCACATGAAATCTTGGTCTGGAAGATGTCTCTTCTGACACAGCAATCTTTGCTAGATTTCAGCTCAATCATTGAATATCCTAGTCGTCAGGCTTCAAACAATCGTTAGAGTCTTAGAGAAGCTCGTAAGGATCAAAACATCCAAGCTCTCAGGTGGCTTCGGCGAGCAAAAGCCTTCGCATCCTTTTGCAACTTGGTCTTCTGTCCAATCCGGTGAGTCTCGTTGTTCGGCGTTCCAAACTGACAACGGCAAAGGCCAAACTCGATTCAAGGTCAAACTCTGGCACTGGAGCACCCATTTGCTGCTCAAAGAAAGTGTTCAACTCATTTTCTTCTCTTGGCAGCTTTCACTGGTTGTGGTTGTTCAGTCTTGCGAGATCACCAAAACGCCTTGCTCCTCTCGGCTGTGGGCCAGTGACCTCGCAAAAGTCAAAGTGAGATCGAATCGAATCCTCATGACAGGTTGGTCTGGCGGGTCCTAGCTGAACGGTAAAATTGGGTACAAAAAGGGACCTCTTCTCGACGGGGCGGTGAGTTGCGCAGTCCTCTCACGCTACCAAAGTCTTAAGAAATTTTATCCAGCCACTTTGAGATGAATTAGATAGCAAAACACGCAGAAATAAACCAGCAAAAAATCATGAAACATGTTGAAATATCAAAGCGCAGGAAGCCTAGGATCTTGATATGTGTGGACTTCTGAAGACATCAGACCACATAGTGCCTCCAACTCGTGGAAGTTGTCTCAGGACTTCAGCCGTCTCCCGATTCGTCTGACTTCAGTTGACAGCAGCCCGCGAAGGCATTGCCACCGACGTCCTCGACGCCATCAACGTCGCAGCGCCGCAGCTCGCGACAGCCGGAGAAGGCGTAGGGCCCGATGTACTGCACAGAGCGCGGGAGCTCCACGCCTGCGACGTTACGACACGCCTCGTGTCGCAGACTTCACATACGCACACTCATATACGCGTAATCACACTCATAGTACGAAACATTGCCAGCCCATTGCATTTCTTGAGATGTTGGCACCTAGTGATTCATTTTCCTCTATATAACCTTCCCAAATTTGATGAGGTCAAAACTCCCTTGTACTGCGAAATCTGCCTTCTTCTTTCTTTCAGCTATCACTGAAAAATCATCGCTCGTAGCCTCCAAAGATCAATAGAAACCGTTTGCAAACTTAGATCGACCTCTCCGAACAAGTGACCGAAACAACTCTGTCATTCCGAGCTGCTGCGCAAAGACGTGCACTTGGCAAAGGCTGCCGCTCCGATCTCCGTCAGCGCCGACCCGAGCCCGATCGTCGCCAAGGAGTCGCAGCTGGCGAAGGCGTAGTCGCCAATGCGTGCAACGCCCACCGGGACATCCTCAGTGACACTTGTTACTAGTAGCTTCTTGTTACTACTAGTAAGGCACCTGTTACTAGTAGCGATGCACTTGTTACTAGTAGCTTCTTGTTACTACTAGTAAGGCACCTGTTACTAGTAGCGATGCACTTGTTACTACTAGCTTCTTGTTACTACTAGTAAGGCACCTGTTACTAGTAGCGATGCACTTGTTACTACTAGCTTCTTGTTACTACTGTTCGATTTCGGAAGCAAAAAAGCAAGAATGCATCTTCCCTTACCAGCTAGCGAATGCCCACGCGCACGTGATGGTACTGTAGGGAAAAGAGACTAAAAACAGATCGATGAAAAGTGCACTGGTGAAATAAACCAATGGCAACTTCAAAAGATCTTTTGCAAACTCTCATCAAGTAGCCAGGCTTTCCAAGGATGAATTGGAAAAACATGCGACCCCAAGGTCCTTCAGCGCAGTCGGCAGCTTCACACATTTCAAGGAGCTGCAGCCAGCGAAGGCATATTCACCAATATGAGTCATGCAATCAGGAAAGGTCACACTTTCCAGTGAAGTACAGCCTCTAAAGCTGCTTCCTTTGCTCTCGATTTGATCGACCAAATTAAGTTAGGCTACAGAGTGCAATTTGACCCAGCTTTGGGGTTCATGAATGAGCTGCTGCTGCTGACGCTTGCTTGTCTAGGTCCATGCTTGTTGAATGAAGGTGCTTCTCTTAGCTTTAGACTAGTTGAACAGAGATGTGGGCATCCCAAAAAACAAACACGGATTATCATAGAACCTTGCTCAATTTCAAGTGCAGGCATCTCCCAATCTGTGTTGCTCCATTGGGAAGCACCACATGCTTCAATGATCTGCAGCCCATGAAAGCGAAATCCCCCAGTTGTCGCACTGAATGAGGAATGCTCAACGTGACCAATGTGCTGCACTGAGAAAAGGCGAAGGGTCCAATCTCCGTCACTGAGTCTGGAATCTTCAGCTCCGCGAAGGAGCTGCACCCTGCGGACACCGAGTTCGGCCAGAGATCAAGCCGAATCTACTGGACCTAGCGGACCTAGCGGCTACCCGTTCCTTTTCATAGGTCAAACGAAACTTTAGGGATTGCTTTGAATGAAATGCACTTGGATCAGCAATCCAGCAAGCACACACACGGGTAATTTTGTTATGTAACTATATATTTGATACTATTTGCATTCAATGAAAAACAAATCCCCCACCCTGCCTGAGAAGCTGTTGTAGGAAATGCAGCTCACATTTGTGGGAATCAAGATATCCTTTAATGAGCTACAGTTCTCAAAAGCGCTTTCATCGATGAAACTCACAGACCCCATAGAGATCCTTTCCAAGGAGATACAACCAGCAAAGCTATGGTGTCCAATTCGACTCACAGAGAGAGGGAGAGTGACACTGGCGAGAGATCGACAATCCCGAAAGGCTTCTGCTCCAACATCAGTGATCCCGTCGGGAATGGACACCATCACAAGCGAGCCGCACGATTTGAAGGCTTTCTCTGTGATTTGTCTGGCTGTGCCTACGCAGGGCAACTTGCATCAATGTACAGTACACAAAAAGGCCTAAAAACAAAGGGAATTATGAGTTCATCATGCTGCATGCTTGACTTGACAGCGTTCATATACGCATCGTACGCACCATCTACCAAATAAAGAGGGAATACCCAAAAGAAACGAGTCCACAGCATGGCAGATCAGCACGGTTAGATAGATGCAACATTTCAAGGGCATGTTGGCATACCAGGCATACCCTTTATCCCTTCTTGTAGTGCGTCGAACAACTGGTAGGACTGCAACAGTGACAGGATATAGTGTGGGATGAGGACATGTTCCAAGCACCCCTTGCTGGTTCCATACACAAAGGAGAGTGATGAGCTCTGAAGAATCTCGTTAGGTATGGCAGACCTCCTCAGTAGGTTCTCCTTGGGTGTCTAATGGTTGTCTTTTGGCTACCTCTAAATTGTGTCTAATAGCGATGGCCTCCAACCTACTAGCGATGGCCTCTACCCTAGTAACGATGGCTTCTACCCTAGTAACGATGGCCTCCACCCTAGAAGCGATGGCCTCCAACCTACTAGCGCTACCTCTAAACTCTAAACCCATCTAATGATTCTATGATTCTAATCTGCAACCATTTTGATCTGCCTGGTAGCGTCACAGCCTTCAGCTTTTCAGGCAACACTTTCTTCGATGCAGCCTCCTGTTGAGTCTCACACTCCACCCAATCGATGCTGAACAAGAGTTGAACCGTCGTACCTGACGATTCATCGCTGGCGACCGAGGTTGATAAAAGTGCAACACCAAAGAAAAGCACGGTCCCATGGAAAAGAAATGTTGAGTCTACGACTATAACTTTAACAACTAAACTTTGCTAGAACATAGCCGCATAGCCTATAGCTATCAAAGGAATTAGGAAGATAAAGTTCCAAGTTGAAACAGTTGCAGTCAGCATGCGCGTGATCGTGGACAAAGGAAATTGGCAAAGCAGTCAGGGGGAAAATGTGGTCCGTAAAGCGACGCTTTCGGAACGTCTGCGGGGTATTTATCGGTATCACGGCCACTTGCTCCACGAAGGTGTCTGGGAGTGATTGGGGAAAATCTACGAAGGAATGGAATCGGAGAAATGAGACATGCTTACTAGTAGCTTCTAGCTAGTAGCGATGCCCTTTGTTACTAGTAGCTTCTTGCTCCTAGTAGTAATGCCGAGCTACTAGTAGCTTCTTGTCAAGCAAAAACATATGGGAAGTGCATCCGAATCCGAAAGCATCGATTTTGATTGCCTGGACTTACTTTTGGTATGCCTGGCGGCTGCAGTCTGCCCAAAGATCTGGAGATGGTTGAAGTCTAAATTCATCTAGAACAGAAATTGTCTTTTGAAACTTCCGCCTACCAGCTCTGGTGGAGATTCCCGTGGATATTTCTAATTCATTCCGTAATTGTGCATGGGACTGTCAAGGTATCAAGAACAACTCCAGCCAGATTTTGGCTCACATTTAAGGCAATTGTGGCCCAACCTGAAATGATTCCCTCTTCGGCAAAAGTCCTCTTGTCGTCAGAAAGCGTCTGACCCTCCAAAATGAGTTCCACAATGGTCACCCTTCGCACAGCTTCCACGTCACAGTCCTCCAGGGATTTCTCTACGTCTCATCGATTTTGGGGTGTCTGTTCTGTCCATAACGGCCCTTGAACGACATAGGAACTGGCAGAAGCACCAAACCCAGCAGGGGCAAAGCAAGTCTAGTGATTACAGTTACCACTATAGTAGGTAACCAGTGGTTCACAAGACTAAAACCATAGTGCTTGCAACTGGTATCCACGTTGGAAGTGTTCTTTTAAACCCGCTCACCTGAGATCCTTGGAGCTGATGCTTGAACTCACCAAAGGTCATCGCTGCCGGCACCTCATAAACCTTGACGTCGCCCGTCAGTTGTTGCACAAAAACTTGCAGCAAATCCATTGCATTATGAGGCTATCCGAACGTGCTGGCAACTTGATCCAAAGCATGAAGCGGGAAGAAGATTGACAAAAGCAAGGATCTTCCACTATACAATGAAAAAACATGTTTGGGTTCTTGAGGTTAAAAAGGTTCTCCTTGCGCCGGGCCATTTCAATATTTCAATATGCTCTGGGCATCCCATCAATTCAATTCACCCAATAGGTTGAAGCCACGGACCACTGGTTTACTCTCAAGAATCAACAGGATGCTGACTACGGTTTTGGGTCGTTGCGTATTGACCTACAACCGCGTAACCCTCGGCCATCCCAATACAACCTTTAGTTCAGAAAACCCGATAGTAGCAAGGACGCTATTAGGTGGAGGCCATCGCTATTAGGTCGGAGGCCATCGCTACTAGGAACAAGAAGCTACTAGTAAAAATATGTCCAGTCTTTGTTCCGTTCTTCTGTTCCTTTAGTTATGGGTTCTCCCAGTTCTGAGCCCAAATCCTCAAGACTGGGGACTTGTTCCAGGCATGTGTTTCCCGGCGCTGTGTATTTCGACATACCGGCGTATTCCCCTTTTTTCTTCGTTCCTTGTCCTGACCGTCCTCTTAGCTTCCTTCCTTCCTTCCTTCCTTCCTTCCTTCCTTCCTTGTTGCCTTTGTTTGTCATGGCCTTCTGCCGAACTGTCGCCGTCATGCTACCCAACCACGAAGGAACCCGCTGGTGGAAAGACATCGCTGATAGGCCAGTCTAGCGCCAATCCTTGGGCCCCAAAGCTCCCCAGATATCTTGTTACTAGTAGCGATGCACCTTGCTATTAGCAGCTTCTTGTTATCTTTCGTCTTTGCTCCACCAAGTTCACCGGAGAGTTTCCCGAACTGTAGTGGCGTTTGCTGGTTCAACTCGACCATGTGCCAGCTTAAAGTGGGTCTCGGGTCCCCGACACAGCCCAAGGAGAAAATGTCCATGGCAGCCTGAGAGCGATCGGGTTGAGAAACAGATCCCGACAATGACAAAACTTTCTGCTCTCCATTGACTCAGTGCTAGTACCACCCCCAACCCAAGTCCATCCAGTGTTTCTTCACGTGGCATGTTTGCTCGTTCGTTCCTGGTCAAATCTGGGGAATAGAGATTGGGAACAAACGACTTCTAGTTGTAAAATAGACTTTCACTTAAAGGGCTTTCCCGAAAACTTTCGATGACACCATGCTGGGCGTACATATTCCAGATATATACCCTCGATGGTGCAAGGTTGGGATGGGAACAAACTGGGCTCTTTGCTGTCCTCACATAGGCACCAACGTGGGCATGACCACAAGCATATTGTAGGAAAACGTAGCAGTGTGATATAGTGTGATCATTGAAGCGGTTCTCTTTTCCACAGTCGCTTCACACCCGCACTGGCAACTGCTGCGGGCACAAACAGAAGCTAGATATGAAGACGACCCAGCCACTGTCAGGCAGCTAGGACAAAGCGTGGACAATGCAGCTGCGTATTTTCAGGACTAAGACAGCCCCGGACTGCACCGTGCACGGGACACAGATCTTCGACTCATAGGCCTCCACCCTTGTTTTCCTGGTGAACACAGTGAACATGGTGAACTGGAAAGAGAGTTCTGACACAACGAACGTTGCCGAATGCTAGTTCCTATCGCGAGAGGGTTGAGGATGAGGTTGAAGAGCTTTGAAGGGAAATGAGGCTCCGAAAGTCACCAAGTTGGTCAAACTGGCTGATGTTTTGCAATAATTCACACAAGCAAACACAGGAGGCTCCTTTCCAAAATTCCTTTGGGGAACCTGAGGACGCAACCAGCTCTCTGGAGAAGTGCCCTCGGGAAGTGCCACCACCTTCCAAGATGCATGCAGAATGATCAGCAGTCTGCAGTGCCTGCAGTATGCATCCCACTAAAAATGACCATCTTTGTCCAAGCAGGTGGATTGGGGTGTCATTCAATCAGCATCAAAGGAAATTAATCTCCTCCCTCCGACACCATGTGTGTGAGAGCAACATTTGGTCACTTCCGATAATGAGCCTCTGCCAAAGCGCTCCGGGGCCAGGTAACAGCGGTGGCGGTTCCGGTCGGATTCGAAGAAGAAGGAAAACCTCAGAGAATGCATGTCGAGATGTTTTGTGACGTCCATTTGCATAACGGCCAATTGTGGGGGTGCCCTGTGTGTGGAGGTGTTCTTTGGATATCGTGGTCTGCATCTGTACAGAGATCTCAGCCAAATTGCATCTGCGTGGCCACAAATGGCATATAGGCGACAAAAACCCACATGCTGTAGAACGACCACGTCCAGTGGTCAACTTTAGTCAACTTGTTAGCTGTTGAAACCACGAATGTCAAACAGCGCGGAGCCCATCGGGCCAGCGATGAATCCGAAAATGCGACCACAGCGCATGAGCCGAGGCAGGAAGTGTGATCAACACAGACAGGCAAAGAGCCCAGAAAGTATCGATCAGGGGTGGCTCCAGAGAGTAAGAATTCAGTTTGCTATCTGGGGAAGAAATGAGAACCAAACTTCGGCAGCGAGCGTTTCAAACGTCGGCACGCCAAATCATCAGGTCAGAAATCGGATCTTCGAAAAGGCGCTTTTCTGCACTGGGCCACCCCCACTCGCTGGGATCATCCTCACTCGACTTTCGGCCGAAAGTCTTCGAGTTTTGAAAAGGAAACAACTAAAGTAAAACTTCTGAATGCATTAGAAGCAACTTGCGAAGCAACTTGTGAATTAAAACACAAAACAATCGAAAATTCGATTGGTTCTTTGCCGGGATCCTTTGGCAATCTTGATTGGTCAAAGTCGTATGTCACCAGGAGGTGACTTTCACACATATCCAATGCCAAAGGCATTCGCAAAATGTTGCAAAGACGCTAAAACAATTCACACTAAATAGTGGCAAGACACGTTCATTGGCATCTCTTGCAGTTTCAAGGCTAGTCATTTTAATTTGAACAGGAACAGGTTTGACTCGAATCAAGCATATACTATATAAGTACTTTGTTCTTTTCCATGAATCCCGTTGTGAGACTGATTCAACTGCGATGCATGAAAGGATTTCCGGCAGGTTGCTCCTCCAAATGTCATGGAGCCTGCTTCAGCTCTTTGTGGATGTTGTCAAAGTGTCAACCAAATCACTAAAGGAGTTCTTGTTTGCCTTCAAAACACATATAGCTTATAACTCATGTTGTTGTTTGTGTCCCTATCTGTTCCCCGTAGCTGTCGCATGCAGTCGTCCTGCGGGAGCATGAGCGGCTTGAAGGTGGCAAAGTCCGTCAAAATTACGTGAGACCAAGACCTGAAAAAAGAATGGCTTCCAAAAAGGGTTGCATTGTCCTATTATTGTTTGGAAAAAGAGAACTAAAGTATTGCTTCTGTCTCTTGATTTTTTGTTATGGTTATATTTACTTTTGAGGTCGACCTCAAAACCTTTCTTGTGCTCCTTCTTTGCCTCTGCCCTTTATTTCTTGTCTGTGTTTTCATTGTTCTGGCCCCCGACCGATCCTAATAAAAAAGTCCCTAGAAAAGCCATGCAATGCGATGGGATCAGGGAACGGATCCAGACAAACAAAAGTTGTGATCAAACCCTGGCTCCAGTCACAGGCTTCCAGGAGAAAGTTGCGACGAGGGCCTGGTGCTAAGAGAAGAAGTAAGAACCCGTTCAGCTTTCAGCCGTCTGGAGAATGACTATTACTGTGTTCCTGTCTCTTATTACTAGTCTTATTGTGTTTTCTGTTGTTTTCCTTTCTTCTTTTCTTTCTTTCTGCCTGTCTTTCCGTTCTTTCAGTAAATCAAGTGAAAGATAAAGTGGGATTGTGGGATTTGCCTTTACCGGGCAGGATGCGAATGACTGACTTGAGGCCAATGATTGAATCATGTCCTATCAAGGGAATGCTCTGGATTGTATTTCCCAACGGCTGGTCTATCCAGAGTTCCCCCCCCCAAAGGCTACACTACACTAATGACCAAAATATGCGATGTTCCTGTCCCATTGTTAATATGCACAACAACCCGTTTGTGAATGCCAAGAACAGCCTACCTCGTTCAAAACAGACAAAGCCATGGGACGAAATAAAGAAGTTCTCCGTCTTCAAGTCGCCGTGTGCCACCTAAAGACTGCGGGGCTGGCCAGGGCAAATTGCATGCTGCTTCCTTCGAATTTACATCGAACCCGAGTTAGTGATGTTGTTCAAATGCTGAGGGAGCGCAGGGTCCTAACGGGGTCCTAGGCTTTTCTTTCGAGGGGGCAAAACCTTGGTGTCCCGACTCCAGCAGAGTGAGCCTGGCAAAGAGCTGCCAAAGCCTGACGCTTTGCCATCGATGTTTCGCGTTGGCACTGCACTTGCACAGTCTGGTGACGTCAAAACGCCAGCCCCGAACGTAGCGTCCTTGCTCCTTGTAGCGATGCCCTTTGCTCCTAGTGGCTTCTTGTTACTAGTAGTGAGGCCGGGAGTCCCCAGTGGCGGACATTGTTCCTAGTACCAGGAGCCCCGTTCGTAGCTTGCCTGGAAGGCGAGCCATTTCTTCTCCACAGAGGACAAGAAGGGCCTTGTGTGGATCCGGTCGTTTAGGTTTCGCCTCAGTGCTTCAGTCAGCTGCGGCCTTCACTTTCAGGACCATCGAGAAGACATATATACAGTAATGGAGTTGATCAACTTAGTGACAAGAGTGTTTAATGCTCTCTGACAAGCATTGGGTCTTCGATGTAACCAACAAAAGGACGGTTTTAAGATAGGGTTTCTCATTGCAGAGTCTCCATAAGTCTATTTTGGAAAAACAGCTGTCATTGAGACCAACTCGTTCTGCCTGCAGACTTGACCTTCCATGTGAACATCCGAGCGTCAGGAAGTGCTGTCTCAGCAGTACGGAAGATTGGTTGGAGATCTCCATGGCCTGGCAGAAAAATGATGTTCTTTTTAAATTCAGATAAACTGGAGGCCATCGCTATTACAGTAGGTTGGCTTGATTTCCCTGGCACCAAAGAATTCCCTCTTAAGGAGATTGAGGTTTGAGATTTTAGGAACATTCAGGAACATCCCTCCGATAACACAGGAGTCTGAACTTTCTTTGAGGCTACAAGCTTGACAGCTTAACCTCCCTCAATGTGTTCTTTCATCTTGTTGCTAGTAGTAACAAGTGCCACGCTAGTAGAAACAGGTGCCACGCTAGTAGTAACAAGAAGCTAGTAGAAACGGTAGTGATGATGACGGCAGTTCTCCCTCGTCCCACCTGGTAGGGCAAAACGTTGGGATGCCGCCAGGGCGAGCGTAGTGCATCGCGCACCTGCGTTGAGTGCGAACTTGGCCTAAGGCACTCTCAGCCATCGGATGTGGTGAAAGAGCATTTTCTAAGCGATGGCCTGGCGGCCTCCAACCTAAAGCATTTACAAAGTGAGAAAACAAAGTCTGCAAAAGTTGAAACAAAGCTGCAACAGCAAGCGTTCATTATACACACAAGTCTGACAGCTAACCAGGTGTACGTCGGGAATCTCAATGTGATGCCAAGTCTTAGCCTATGTCTGCATTGTTTCATCGCACGGACGAGTAGACACCCAGCGCCACAACACGAACAACCACTGACTGCTCTGAGGCTACCCCTGTCATCTCCCTGAGGAGACGCCGTGTGCGCCTGATGGATCCTCCGTTGGAGCTCCCGCAAATCCGGTTGTCCCTCCCTGCGAAGCCAAGCCGGCCACAACCAAAACAGCAACAGGATGGACGGGTTCTGAGCAACATACGTTTGGTCGTGTGTAGCAGTGAAACTTCTAATCCTTCTCCCTCTCCCTCTCCCTCTCCCTCTCCCTCTCCCTTTCCCTCTCCGTCTCCTTCTCCTTCTCCTTCTTCTCCTTCTCCTTCTCCTTCTCCTTCTCCTTCTCCTTCTCCTTCTCCATCTCCTTCTTATTCTTCTTCTTTTCTTCTGCTTCTCCTTCTGCTGGTTTTGAATGGAAATGGACATGCTGCTCTGTGTTGTCCTTTGTTTGGCCAAGAAGCGGCTATTTCCTCCGGATGATAACACGGGGCCACGTTCCTAGGTCCATCCATCACATCACCAAACCGCCCGTGAGAACCACATCACTTCCAACGGCAGAAACAAGTGCCACGCTAGTAGTAACAGGTGCCACGCTAGTAGTAACAAGTGCCACGCTTCTAGGAACAAGTGCCTTACTAGTAGTAACAAGAAGCTATTAGAAACAAGTGCATCGCCTGTGGATGAAGAGCTTCACCACCACATCACCCTCGCTCTCATGGACACAACGCATGACCTTAAACCTCAGCGATGGACCCCAAATTGGTGAAAGCACGCAGTTCCAACTTCCAGGATTCTTTCCAAAAGAAATTGAAAAAGGTCATATGATTGAAAGTCAAGGATTCAAGGTATATATGCTCTAAACTCATTCTTGAGCAAGTATTGATTTACAATTATGGGGCATGTCGAAGGAGAACCATGGGCATTAGGCATTAGGCTCAAGAGCTCTCACTAAGGGTGAACTGCATCGCATGCCTGTTTTAAGCCCCCTGTTGGGTGTGGAGGTCTCGTTATACCTGGGCTTTCACTTGTTGCTATCGGCCGAATTGTTTGCCATGCACACCACATACGCCAATGGGTATAGATTGTGAACATCGCTACTGAATATGAATGCTACAATATGTGGGGCTGATTTTGTCGCAATCTTCACTTGAACTCTGTGGTCAGTGCTTGTTGTCATGCAATCAGGTTGCCCATGATGCTTGCTGTGCTCTAGGCCAAGCAGAATTCTACCCTGAATGCAGGGTCTAGCCATGCGAAGGACTGCCCTCTTAAAGCCACCACTGTACACAGATACCAGACTATGTTGTGATAGCTTTCGCATGGACTGTGACCGCCAAAGCAAGGCTCCTCGCTGCCGAGCTGTATCGATGCAGACTTGCATGGACAATTGTCGAAGAGCCTTCTGTCAACAGAGCCACAGCCACACCTGCCTTTAGTTCCTGTTACAAACTCGGCCATGTAGCACCGGGATATGAAAGTATGTCTCTGCAAAAGCACGCCCTTTCAACCAAATTCGTTTGTGTCACTCACCGGAGATGCTCGGAGAGCCACATGTGCTTTTCAACCGATGGCTCAAAGCATTGTTTGAGGCCATCGAAACACCTGGCTAGCTGAAAACCACTTGCCAGCTCCTATCTGGATACCTTAGATGCCTATCTTTGATCTGGGCATCTTATTGTATTGATTCTTTGGCATCACAGGCTGATCAAACTCTCAAATACAGACCGGCAACGGGTATCTGGGGGCAGGATGCCCGTAAGCTCACTCATCAAAGTAGAACCTTCTGCAGGATGACTCTACCTTTTGCAAGCTTATGAAGTGCTGTCCCAAATCGTTGAACATCAAGGATTGATCGTCAGCATCTGTTTCGAAAAACATACTCTACTTTGAGCATCCCCACCCAACCAACTGTTGTCTCCACCCAACCAACTTTTTTTGATGTGCATCTCAAGAGTACACGAATTGTGTCATTGGGTCAGGCCGCTCAAAAATATCCCAGGACTGGTGAGGGCTAGACATGGCACAACACACCGAAACCACTGGGCTTCCCCAGCAGTTTGTAGCTGCCCAAGACATCTTGGTATGCGAAGCCTTGGTACCTAGAGAGGTTGGAGGCCATCGCTACTAGGGTGGAGGCCATCTCTATCAGGTTGCAGGCCATAGCTAGTAGGTTGGAGGTTATCGTTATTAGAAACAAAGAAAGCCTTGTTACCTAGACAGGTCGAAAGGATAACAAGCCTTCACTATCTCTTGAGATCATGCCAAACCTCTTGAAAGCTTGGCACAATCCCAGTCCTCTGGCTATGAATTTCGCAAGCACCCATGATTCTGTCCGAAATTCTACAAATGCCATCAGCCACAAGCCATCGCAAGAAAACGCAGGCCACGGTGGAAGGTGCATGCAGCCTTTTTGTTCCAGTCACGCGCACGTGTCCATGACCGAGTTTGATAGGCAGCCCTCGCTGTGATTCGCCATCTGGACTTTGCACTGTCTAAAAGACTGGTGGGTTTGAAGCATCAAATGCCAGGCTCCAACAGCTCTAAGAACCCCAAACAGGTCAACGCCGATTGAAGTCAGAATATCTTGCTTCCCCCCACATGATGGATGTGAACAACTAAGTTTGGGTTCCTGATTCAGAAAAAAACTTGGGAAATCAGTGAATCAGCTAGTCTCACCGGAAGGAACGAACGTGTGGGTCTAAGTGTGGGTCTACTTAGTCTACTTGTGTCCAAGTGGGCAAATCACAGGAACGAACGCGGAGCGGATTTCATTTGGGCCTGCGGTTGGACTGAGAGTTGATGGTTGCAACTCGATCCTACTTAGGGATATAATGAACTGGCAAGAGGACTACATGGTAGACCGGTAGACCCTATGGACCATTGAAGAGATTCATTTCAGGTGTTGTTCCCTCACCCTATGGTCCTATGCTTCAAACTCAGATGCTTCCCGAAGCTAAAGTGTATCTGTTACGGAAGGGTCTCCTGGACTTGAGGAATGGTGAGGGGATGCTCTTGGGTAGCTTCTTGCTACTAGTAGCGATGCCCCTGCTACTAGTAGCTTCTTGCTAGTGTAGCTGGAATGCAAGATGTCCTGGCTATACGTGGCTCGGCATGTAATCTTTTGCCCTTTGTAACCTGTTGGCATGACAAGCGGCTCATGCCACTGTCCCACAAGCCCATGCCCTCATGCCCTGCACACATTGGCACGTTCTGCACTCAGATGAGGTCGGCCACGTTCATGGGCATCTCATCAATCTGTGTGGAATAGAACCTTGGCTGAAACTATGTGGGGGTTGGTTGAAGACTGACGAACAGTAAAGAAGAAGCTAGAAGCTATATGAAGCTATGTCTGCAAAACATGTTGGCAGTTGCTCCTATAGGTATGATTGGGACACCAAGAATTGTAGAAATCCGACCGGGAAACCTTGGAGGTCCGGCTCAAAGCTTGTCGCCATCTCAGGGCCTACATTCCTCTTGGGAAAGCAGTACAGAATACCATTGGACGAGTAACAAGGCACCTTACTACTAGTAACAAGAAGCTACCAGTAGCTCCTGGCATTACTACTAGTAGCAAGAAGCTACTAGTACAAAAAACTCCTAAAGTGGACCACACAGCGAACCACACAAATCTTGAACACTACTTGAGGTAGAATCAGAGTCTGCTTGAGGGTCATTCGTTTGACACACTAAAAGCAAAGAACTGGGCAAGACCGATGTTTCCCAAGGTGACAAAGGGCTTCTACAGAAAGAATTTTCTGAGGGAAATACGTCGAAGGATGGCATCTCCGTCCAAGTCCGGAATTGCCACCAAGGAGCTGCTCGATATCACGGAGGATTCGGATGTCGTCGTTCTTCACCTGGCTTCGTTCGCTTCGGATCTCTTTTCGAAGCAAAACTGGCAGGACATGTTCCTCATCTCAAAATGTCCTGAGAGTTGATGTTTGTCACCAGTTCACTTGCACCTATCATATCTTTCCTGCCTAGCCAACTGCTTGGGTTTGGGGTAGGGCTAGATGCTCACCGAAAGATGTATTGACTTTCGAGATTTGGCGGAGCACCAACATGGAAAAACGGCTTCTCTTTTTATCACACAAGTCGTCGAAAACTTCCAAAAGTGGTTCAAACGGAACATCTGCGCTTTCCTCCATGCTTGGTCACCGTAGACTCCATAGACCGCATTGCTGGGGGTCCAGGCGAAGTTGATGGCGACGCCCTTTCGACCAAAACGCCCAGAGCGTCCGATGCGGTGGATGTAGAGCCTCAGCGAGAACACAAAAAGGTGAGAGGAAAGTGGAAGGAGAAGCTTCTTGTTCCTAGTAGTAGCCAGGAGCTCCTAGTAGCATCCTTGGTACTAGTAGGAAAGTGGCAAAGGAGAATGGAAAACAACTTGGAAGTGTCGCTCTGAGAACCGAGTCCGATGAGTTGTCTTTTGGTATCTCCTTCACCGAGAACGAGCCCAACTTCTGCTACAAGGCGATGCCCTTTGCCCCTAGTAGCTTCTTGCTACTAGTAGTAAGGCCAGGAGCCCCTAGTAGCGATGCCCTTTGCTGTAAAGCGCCGGTTGGATGTAAATTGTGTCGCCACACAGTGCCTTCCCACAGCGGTCTTCGACGATTGGACAGAGAATCGCCCACGAAGCCCGCTCCGCCCTCGCCCGACTCAAAGCCCACCCGTTCTGTGTGCCACACTCTCGGTTGTTGGGAAGGTCATAGCAAATCACCAAAGACACCTGGCTTCCGCTTGGAATTTGTGAACACTTCTGTTGACACAACTCCAAGATGAGCCATTTGTGTGACAGAGTCCCAAAATGGGCTGCTCATGAATCTAACAGGTCGCTAGGTGGTAGAACATGTGGGAAGTGATCCTCTTCCAAATCCCTCACTCAAATGATTGGTGTTGAATATATGACGTGACCATTTGACAGGGTCCAAGCTTGTTGCGACCGAATGCCCTGGATCCTACCCATGTGGCCCTCACGTGTTCTTTCCGACTGGCCTGCTGCACATCCAAACCACGACCCCACAAGTCCGTGGAGATCAAGACGCGGCTGGTGCCACTTCGGAACCTCAAGAAGCTGCAAGCTACATGACACAGCTCCATGCAGGCGTGCCCGTGAGTGCTTCAATGTGACATCGTCCAAGTCTCTGAGAGTTGATCTCTATCATTCGGATCTCAGTTGCAACGAACTGTAGTCTGGGCATTCCGGACTGCTGCATAATGGCGTCACGCTCTTTCTGAGGCATGTCCTGGTGTTGTGGGTGAAGCATATCTTTTCTCTCAAGAATAACCAATCCTACTGTTGCAGAAAGAAAGCCTACAAAATGACCTCCAAATTTTGTGTGCTATGTAGACCATTTTTGAGCGAATGCGGATCCCAGACACCTACATGGCATTTTCATTTCGTGAAGCGTTGATTGATGAACCCTACCATTCTCTGGGTACTTTGGCCAGCTCTACGGATTCCACATACTTCCAGTTGTTCGCCACAAGGCGGATCTCGCCACGTGTTCCGACGAGCAAAATGGTCAGATTCTCTGAGGCTTCAACGCCATGGATGGAGGCCACGGTAAAGTTGGCATCTCTCATCTTCTGCCTCAAAACGTGAGGACCGACTGTCAGAGACCGATGACTTGAACAGACCAGAGAAATACCGGTCAAGGACTTGGGGTTCATCTGGTGTTCCAGCACTGATTGCTGCACTGCGCACTGCGCAGCTGTAAACACTTGAGGTTTTAGACCGACGTCGACAAGAGCTTTCTTCCACTTGCAACTGACCAGACCTTTCTTCGACTTGACTCAAAAGGGCCTTCCCTTCGACCCTTCTCTTCCGCCCAACTCTGAGGCGAGAGACGTCAACCAGTCCACCTTCTGCTTGGTGTTGCAGAAGATCACCGCCTGCGGGCGGGCGAAGGGCTGCGGGTGGCGTTGAAGTCCGCAGTTTGAAGAGTTCCTCACTTTCCAATTGAACGAACATTGTTTTGAAGTCCGCGGTTTTGGAGAGTTCGCATCGATTAAACATTGTTGTTTGAATACTTCCACAAAATCAAGAGACCTCCAGAGGAGGAGCCTCAAAAAATATCTTTGACGGGACTGCAGCTGCTTTCTCCACCTCATGACACAAATGAAACAAAATCTTCAGAAGCTAGTAGAAACAAGTGCCACGCTACTAGTGACAAGTGCCCTACTAGTAGTAACAAGAAGCTACTAGGAACAAGGTTGGTTTTTTTCTTTTAAGCCTCGACACCCTGTGCGACTTTGCGACACCCTCTCCCACGCCCCACACGCCTGCGTGATGGTCAAAGTGTCGTAGAGGTCACACAAGGTATCGAACTTCCATTGCTCTCGCTCCACGGCCACGAAGAACCTCCACACGGCTTGAGCTGCAGACAGAAAGTGTTCTTATGTGTCTTTCTTCTTTCTTCTCTTCGTTTGCCCTTACTCCCTTACTTAATGAAGTAGACGCCGATTTAAGTTAAGTAAAGCACAGTGGACGCAGGATAGTTCACGCTTCTTCATCGAAGCTTCCTTGAAGAAGCAAGCGCTCGCACTATTCATATTTGGTTCCTAGCTGATCTCAAAAGCACTGCGTCGAGGATTCTATCTTAGGTGCAGGATTTCTTTCCTCAAAAGTAGTAGAGTGGATCAAACAGAAAAAGGAAAGGATGGTGAGATGCGGTGAGATGCTCCAACATATACCACTGGATCATGTAGCACATTGCAAATGATTGGGATAGCGTAGATAGCACGCTGTGGTGGCATCGCATCAAACTGAGTCCGAAAGCATGCCATTGTTCCAATTCTAATTAAATTACATCTTAAATCGAATTCGATTTAATTTTGTTGTCTAATAGCTTCTTGTTACTAGTAGTATGGACAGGAGCCCCTAGTAGCGATGCCCTTTGCTCCTAGTAGCGATGCCCTAGTAGCGATGCCATTGATTGCTTGATCTTTTGTGTAAGGAGTCCAGCATCGAATCTCTCCGGCCGAGCAGCTGCTTAATACCTTCCAAGGTCAGCTCATCTCGCTTCACCAAGACCTCAGCCAAACCCCACCGTGCTACTGCGCATTGGGAAAAAGACACCTTTTGGGAATGGTCCTGATAGTCAGACACGTGAAGACACATGTGGACACTGAACTTGTCTCATCAGTTTGTCAAAGGCACTGAGTCAAACAACTTGCACTGGTCTGGCAAAGAACCTCTTCATGTTATCTGCTGCAACTTTAACAGACAAGAAGGAGCCCATTCTTGCAAAAGCCCAAGTCACTTCTACGTAGTGGCCACAGTAGTCATCCCAGATTGGACCCCTTGTCACTGCAGACTATGCTGCGCGTACCACTGCAGTAACCCAAATGGGCTAAAGTCAACAACTTCTGCGAGAGGAAATAAGTGGGGCAGGGCCATCGATGTCCAAGCTTGGCTTCGCTTGGCTTCCGGACTCTGAATGGATTGTTCATGAACCTCAGGATTGGTGTCAAAAACAAGATTTTGAGAACGAAGGTCTGCGGAGCTCATCCAAAGATGGGTTGGTATTTGCCGCATATGCCCCAGATGGGAAAAGGGACAGGAATAGGCTGTAGGTGCTGACGGATGTGCAGTCTCTTTTCTGCGATTCATGCAAATCACCAGGTGCCCGGGCTTGTGTGTCATCTCAAGCACTTCATGGGGCATGGTGGCAGACACCAAAACCACCTCGTGCAAGGGCCAGGTGCTTAGCGCGTTGGTATGCTTGGTCTCAACTGTTCGAAAAAGGTTTTGGGCCAATCCCATGCCTATCTAACTAAGGCGGTTTGAGAGCCACTTTGCAGCAGGACAGTCATGTCATGTTCTGCTGTTCATTTGCCACCATCAGTAGATCTACGAGTGATTCTGCTTCAGCACGGAAACCCCAATATTGAATCAAAGCTTCTGAAAGACCTAGAAATCATAGGAAAGTGTGTTTTGTTTCGCAACCTGCTCTGGATCGATCGCTTCAGATCTCTTGCTTCTCGCACGCCTGTGTTGAAGGAGGTAGGTATCGGTAGATATCATAGACCTGGCGGTCAACATGGGAGGTGGAGCAGAAGAACGTTAGAGTCGAGCTCTTTGGGTTCCTACAAGCTAGCAACTGCAGGTTCCAACTTCAGATGTTCAACTGCCCATGCACCACCAACTGACCAATAGAACAAGAAGGCCGCAAGGACAAGAAGGTCCTCCTCAAATCCAAGTCTACTTTGCCGGTCCTTGCTCTTGGAACCGAAAAGCACTAATGGTGTCTGACAGAGTGCATGAGAGTGCATGCGGATCCAGATGGGTCAGAAGGAAAGCTTCAACGGCGGTAGGCTGTGCCAGACTAAATAACAATTCTGTCCATGGCAGGCAATAGCGCCAGTAAGCACCACGGCACCAGCGGTCCGGGTGAAGCGTCGCGCCTGCTCCTTGAAGCCTCGGTTCAGCATCTCATCCGCCTCGTCCAGGACTAACATCTTGATCTCAGCGGTTGGTGCTGGTCAAGTACAGCGATTGATGGCGGGGATTCATGACCGTTTTGCGGGGAAAGTGAGAACCTTGGAATATGCAAGGAGGTTCAGGGGGGTTCGGTCTTGGAAGGAGCATCCGCAATTTCTTGTTTAAAATCTATATATATATATATCGATATGTCACTGAAACGATTGATGAAATAGTATTTGAATACATGCCATTATTGCCATAGTAATCAACTGCAATACCATAAAGCAAAACGATCTATTTCTCCAAGATCAGTCACAAATTTAGATTATGTTATATAGCTGATTGTTCTTGTTACTATTGGGATTGGTAAGAGAGACGCAGGTCCTCGACTGGAGACACATTGCCTTCTTTAAAGAGCTCTCAGAAACACCAATCAGTCCGCTCACGTCACACTTGCTTTTTTCACTCGCATTTCTTGCTCCCTGGCTGGACGCTCAAGGAATAGGTGGCAGTCAGCAGCAGCAAAGAGCTGTCGTAAAGCGCGTGACCTGTTTGTTTCCATGAGATGTGTGAGGATCGGAATGCCAACACCTTCCACTTTCCGGATCACCTGCTCACGATCGGAACCACTCAGTAAGAAAAATACCACAGGCTAAGGAATTGGACTCTTTAGTGTTGAGCATTGCGTTTCTTGTGGAGGCGTTATCTGCCTCCAAGGGTTGCGACGCCGTGGTCGCAGAGCAGCATCTCTGAGAAAACAACCGGCATCAGCAGCAAGACGCCTCCACAATTCAGTGGATGAGTGGGAGCGAAGGTCGTTGTAGGTTGTTGTAGGTTGGTAGGTGCAAGCAAGGTGCAAGCAAGTGAGTCTTGGAGAACTTGTGGCGCTATTCTCTGTTGTAGATGAAGACCAATGGACCGATGGACGACATGAAGCTTCTAGCTTCACATCTTGCAGGAATTCCCTCGCACCGTCTTCACGACTCGGTTTTGGAGCGATCACGAAAACATTGTGTCCCCAACTGCCAACGATCGCTTCAATCGCTTCAGCAGCTAAGCCTATGCTGATCACCGGCCATCCATCACAGAGCCGCTGCGGCGCCTTCCAAACAGTCAACATAACTGAGCAAAAGACAGGAAATTTATTGGATATTGGAGTGCCACCACAACCAACGGCACACCATCTTAGGCATCAAGATCCTGTGCCATTGGAGATTGTACTTCGAAAGGATGGAAACACAACTATTTCGATCAGTACACGATAGCTACGCAGCTACACCGAAGACAATATTCCAAGGTTCAAGAAAATGTTGCATGCTTAAAATATCTTCGAGATGGTTGAGAGGCTCTACCTTTCCAAAGAGCTTCAAATCGTTTGTCGCACAAAAAAAGCATCCGAGTTAGGTGGCCAATGTGAGGATTCGATCAGAGTCTGCGGTGCAAACGGGCCTGGGGGTTGATGAGGATCAACCGGGGGAGGCAAATCCACAAGTTCAACACAAGTTGAACTGCGCCAAAGGCGAACTGGAGGGGGACGTAAAGCACGAAGAGCAACATGGACCTGAACTGGAAAAGAATGCCCGTCCGTCAGTGCAGTGTTTACAAAAGCTTCTGTCTGGATGATCCAGATTCATTTAGCAGGGAAGTTGGTGGACATCGGTTGCACTCCCTTTTGCCAACTGCAGCATTCACCCTTCGAAAGACTTGCTCGAGCCCGACCGTCCTCTTTGGATGTGGATCCCACACCAGGCCAAACAGGTTTGCGTGGCTTTCTTTGGCCAAGATACGTGCCGTGAAAGAGCATGCAAAGGCTGACAGGGATCCCGTGCACATATCCTGCCAGGCGCCACAAAAGATCACAGTGGGCACTGCTGAGCATGGGCAATGTCGCCAGAAGGGGATACGGTCAGATCTGTACGTCAACACGAACTTTGAATGATAGACCTTTCAGTCTTCCGGTACCCCTGCGGTCCCTCAATACCCAAATTGAATAGACAGCTTTAATGTCTGCCATCAAGGACCGATCACTTCATGACCCACAGCATCTCCTACGAAGGGCCCGATCGCCAAAAAGCTGCTGATGCCCAGCAGCACTGCCATCGCCACGGGTGGTGATGCATGCTGCGGCCGCAAAGTGTCGAGGAACTTGGCATCCAAACCACCGAAGAAGCCTGGCCGAATGGTAGACACCGCGACGACAGGGCACGCGGTGGGTGGTGAACGTGTGAAGTCCCTGCAGTTTGCTGTGCATATGTTTGAATGTCCGTTTAGGAGCATGTCCGTTCGTGAGTCCTTGATTGCACGAGAAAACCCCTTGATATGGCATGAGGTATTTTTGCTACCTGCCAAGTTGAGCCAAGAACTATTATTGATGGTAACAGTAACAAGAAAGGCAGGTAGTTGAAAGAAGGAGGTTGGGTCTCACCTTCATGCCCACGACCCTATCTAGATGTACCGCAGAGCGGCTTTAAATTGTTTCCACATGTTCTTGTTGGGGTAGTTGACATTCCCAAAGCGCTGTGAGCTCTGCTCCACCCGCTCCAACCTGAAGTAAGGATTCTGCACATGTTTGGATGCTATTTACCGCGCCCCCCCCCCCGCGACGCCGAAGCGTTGCAGGCTTAAAAGCTGTTTCATACGGTATCCACCACCCCAGTAACCTTTAGTTTGGTGTTTAGAGACTGTTCTTTAAGTTACAAGAAGCTAGTAGTAACAAGTGCATCGCTACTAGTAACAGGTGCCTTACTAGTAGCAATAAGAAGCTAGTAGTAACAAGTGCATCGCTACTAGTAACAGGTGCCTT